TTCATAGTGGAGCAGTCAAATTAACGGTAAATCAGCGAATAAGACTCACGCAGGCCGCTAAAATTTAAATGATTTGTAGGAATGTAGTATCCAAATAAGAAAGCACAGCAGTAAAGAACAATGACTTGTGAAGTTTATCGGGGTGAATAGAGTTCGAATAACAAGAGAGAGACCGAATTAAGAAGCTGGATGTATGTACATCAAGCCCCAACGTTCAGTAAGGAGAGTAAAGCTTGAGAAAAACACCGAGAGCCAAAATGCTCATTTTCTATCATTTTTCACCAAATGCCAACTTCTACTGCCAATTTGTAATGATAGGCTGTGACGATACGTAGTATCAATGAGAACGAAAACCAAAACAACTACTTATGACACAGTATAACAAAAATGTGTGAAACGATTTTTTAGATGAGTGCTGGACAAAATCTATGATCGATTCACCGTACTGAACCAGTGAGTCGCAGAATTCAAACACGTTTTAGGTAATAGTTCATAGACACTAGAGTAAAATTCGCCTCACATATATATATATATATTTGTTTTGAAGATGTTATACCATGTGTAGAGAGGCTACGCACTAGCTATCAGAAGGACGAATAATAGCCAGTTGTAACCTTTAGTCAAATCCAACTACATCTATTTTAGGCTGATCAGGTGTAAGAATTCTTGGTCTAATGAAAACAGGTGAATTCTCAGTTTTTATTGCATTCCCAACCTTAGCTTACTTTCAGAATGTTGGGGTTACATTTGGTCAGGTTTAGAGATATTGCGAGTATATCCAAGGATTTCGCAGTTGCCCCAAGGAGAGCTTGCATCAAATTCAAAGAAATGCTGTGACTTCCTATGCCTTTTGTGCATTACGAAGTTTCTCAAAGTATCCAACGCCGTTTCTTAGCGTAGATTAGAAAATCGTATCCTCTTAAAAATTCTATTACTAATACTACCAGATGTGAATCCAGTAAAGTGGACATCCAGGGGAATCGCGTCTTAAATCCTAGATTATCAATTAATTATTTTTAGCAGCATGAAGTGTAACTGGGGACATTTTGCAACCTGGACAATTTTGTTCCGAGGAATGACACACCGTGAAGCACCTCTATCCGCCGAAATTTCTGACTTTGATTTTCTGTCCCTAACATAAGCTGTTACCTGGACGCCTCTCTTCAGTAGTCGCGGTCTTTGGAGAGGTTATTCGTTTACCATAATCGTAAGAAAGTTTTAAGGCCAGGAACGTGGTTGGCTGCATCTGGTTGATTGGGCACCGAACTTCCTGTGGTACCATCAGAACTGTCCAGATTACCTGAATGTTTATGACCTGCTTCGTTCTGCCATGGTTGGATTGTTTGTTTATTCATCATTTTGTGTGTGACTTACCGTACGTGATTCACTCGGGGGACCTCCCTCCATTATTTCACTTGCAATGTGTGCTAAATGGGTCAATGAGGTATCCGGATCTTATGTGTCCAAACAGTGTTGGAGATAGCATGTTTTAGGGCTGCTCCATCAATGATGTTGTCAAATAAGACTTGGAGCTTACGTGAAAAATGGGAGGGCAACCATATCACCAAATGATTCTCCTTGAAAATGCCTTTGAATTCTTTGACCGTCAGATGAGGGCTGGCGATTCATTACCTCACATCTCAAAATGGTGTGTCACTGTGATACGTGGAGACTCAAAGTTAAGACTAGCAGCCGAAAGAGAGAGGATTAAACATAAGTCTTAGAGTCTAAATCCCTCAGGTTTGATCTCGTCAAATAATAGTTGAGCGAACCGCAACGCCGGGTCAAAATAATCAAGTTCTGTCAGTCGAGTGACAGATTACGTTTATTTTCCTATCTTTTAAATTGTATTTAGTCTGACATTCTGTGGTACATAACAAAGATATAAAAAGGATAGAGATTGGGGTACAATAACTCTAACACGAAAAACTTGCACTAAACAAACGACGATTGTATGTTTAGTTTCACATCAAAATCAAGAAAAACAATTTAGCAGCTGAAACCTAACCGAGAGCCAGCAACTTGGTTGTAGTAGGTCTTTATTGAAGTCTTGTTCAGCAGCAAATTTGGGGGAGGAGGATATCCTTAATACCATGAAGCCTATAAGCAATCGAAACAGGTCAATATAAAATATGACTTCACAAAGTTGGGAAGTAAACACTTCCCGTTGGTAAAATATAACTACGCAACCTAGGCCGTTACAGCCATCTGATATAGTTAAGATAGTGATATTACTGTGTGTTTGTAACCATATTTGCTTTGAGTTTGTTTATCTGAAGCTCTGCTAGATAGCTTACAATATATACGGTGAGTGCATAAACTTATCGGTAAATATTTATCTTCTCTATTTATCAGAGACAATAACCTGTTCTACCCTGGGTGCAGCCTATAAAACAATAACTACATGAGAGAGTAACGCAATCAACAAGAAACAACGTGCTCCGAAGAACTCTGAGGTTTTTGGAGCATTCTAGCGGTTAGAGTGTGTGGGACGTTTTATACAACCAATCCGTTTTAGTTCCATTTCCCATGTCCTACGACTACTTGTTTTCAATTTCAGTTTCTATCATGTCAAAAACAACTGGATTAAAGAAAGGTTTCTAATATGTTCATATGTATTATATAGAAACAGGTTGAATCGTCTTTCATATAATAAGATATGTGTATGCATTATTTTTGTAAAATGTTCGAAATAAGACCTCTGCATAGGTAAGTTTCCTCGCTGTCACAAAGTATATGTATACATATATAGAGTTTATTTAGTCTCGTTTCCACTGCTTACATATGTACGAGTGTGATTTGTCGTGCAATAGCATATCTATTGGCTTATTTCCAGGAAGATTGGAAAAGACGAAATACAGAGGACTTGTGGCATTATTGTTTCCGAACCACGTGATCCTCTAGACCGGATATACGATAACTCAGTGACCCACATAAAGCTTTGGACATTTGGAAAAAGTCAGCGGTTGTGAAAGCTCGAGGACGTGATGGTGAAGGCACAGCTTAGCCATTTAGGAGTGATCTGCGTACACAAGCTGTTTTTATATCCAATAGGTTGCTATGTCAGTCCTAATATGTTCTTCAGATGTCCTAGGCAGAAACCACTAACCATCTAAATAAGACGATGTAATTTCCACATTAGGTCTTACAGATTGGGTATTCATATCATTGAAAGTTCACGATTCCTGAATCGGTGTATCACTCTAGTAGCAGAGATAAGTCCACTAATAATGACTCAGACCTTAATCCTACTGCCCAACCTCTGTCAATCCGTTAAGTCTCCAGGTCTAAGGATGGCCATTTCTAGGTATCTTAAGGTTCGAAAACACTACTAGTAGACAAGATTTGTGTAACATATCTATTGAATTCAATCACAACTCCTTTCATTGCTACGAAAATTTATTCACGTAGGTCTGTCACGCCGTGCTAGTAGAAGTCAGCCTTAGCATAGCTAATTCGGGCTCCAACAGTATCGAGTAAGATTGGTATGAGTTGAAAGGTGGTAAGAGCATGGGTTATTAATTTATAATTACCCTTGTAGTTCGCTCCAAACCCGAGAAGTGTAGGTCCATACGCGTCCCACCCAGTCCAAGTCTAAAAACGACAATTCTGGGAGAGAACGGTTCTGTATTTAATTAAAAAAGGGAATTTAGACAATTACCAAAACAATATTACACCTTCGAGTTTCCAATTACCACAATAGGTTCCGTTGGTGGAAGAATAAGTGCTTCCAGTCCGTTGCTGCTAGAGTATCAAATCCAAATATGGCTGTAGCCATATTAACTATCAAATTTAAACAACATATGTATAGTTCAGAAGGAAACATGGGAACTTCAATATAAGTACAAGATATAGAAATAATAACAAGATACAAATGATAAAATCTCAAAATGGAATCAAATAGAGTACCGAAATATCAACAGAAAGAGTCAGTTATATCATAACGCAAATATATATACATGGAGGGATTTTCCAAAAACAAAACCTTCAAAATAGATTCTACATGAGTGTTTATCTCTAAGGGTCTAAATGTGACTTCTGATGCAATAGCAGCGCAGTATATGAAAATGTCGAAAATTCTGAGATTATAAAATTAATATATATACGACGTCACGAAAAGGAACAGGCTTATGGCTTATATTTTGGTGTCCCAGATCACATTGACCTTACAAGCAGAGATGTCATGGACATTCCTGGCTTGACGCCACTTTTGTATATGACATTTTATGATTGTAGACCCCAAACATAGTCATTTCAGTAGTTAGGAATTAAACAGTACAAATATATATTTAGAATATGTCAGTGTGTTGAGAAGTGTGTAATGCGAACTAACTAGATGTTGCAAGAAATAAATAGCATGACAGATCCAGTGCTGATCTGGAGAGATTACTAGACCTAGCTCTTTTAGCTTGAGCCTTCCAGTAAAATGGATAAGGTAAGCATAAATTTTGAACACTTACAGTACTGTCAGTTTTTGGGATTTATATACTACTACTATGCTCACAAGTCACTACAAAATTCTTGTAATAACGACTCAAAGTTGTGAAAATGAGTAAGTAAAATTCAAGTATAATCACGAGCTGATCGATTTGATCATTCCTTTGCAGCAAGAATAGGAGTCTATCTTAGATTGAACAGTATCAGCAGAGATTACGCTGGAATCTATTATGTCACATCTAATAGACGGTATTTCGTCTGCTGTGATGTAATGTTATTGTCACGTATTCAGAAATCCTTTAACCTGATAGAAACTCATTCATGCAAGTTACTAGACATGCGAATTCTTAAGCAGCTGCTAGTCCAGTCAAGTAGCTTGACCGTCATCCACTCGACATTACCAAATTTCCGGAACCGTACTGAAAGAAGAAGAAGAATCGAGCACAAAGAACTCGATTGAGTTAAACTAGCTCGTGAACAAGATACTGAGTATTGGAAAGACCAGTACGAATAGATGATGCTCCCGTCTGTGTATAAGAACCATATAATACAATTCAGCCACATACTTTTGTACGCAATTAGATTACAATCTCTGTGTTTTGAGGTTTGGATCTTGAACAATACGAGTTGGCGGGAAAACAAATTCTAGTGGACGTGACCCATATTTTATGATCCAATCAACAACTCGACGTTTAGTTCTGAAAAGATTTGATATATGGGTTTCTTTCAAGCAATGTAGTACATATCAGTCACCAGGCTCAAAGGATTCTTCGGGCGATAAGTTTCAACAGTCAAGCTGGAGTGGAAAGAATGCTTGGAAAATAGGTCTTGTTACTTTGTCTTGTTCCGGTTTGTTTGGTTTTGGATTTGCCTTGGCTGCTTGGGGTAAGATAGGTTACGCGTAATTCGTATGTAATAGGCCCTCCAAAAAAGGATGACAATGGAGTCGAAGTAAGTGGATAATTTCTAAATATTACGATTAGATTGGGGATAAGTTTAGTCAAAGTAAGCAATAAATACGTACTTAATAGTTATCAGTGCCAATTGTTTGGGGATATATAAGAAGAACATTGAATTCTGTCCTTGAATTTAATCAAGTAAGTTTTAAAGACTTATATATTCAGTGTCTGTAGAGCATAAAGGACCCTGTTAGTGAAAAACTCCTTCCCGATCCAGTACAACCACCGTACTACCAACCGCCTTATACTCTTGTTTTGGAAATGACTAATGTACTTGTTCATCCAGAATGGAAGGTAATGTGATACCTGTAGTTTGATTAAAAGTGGTAGTTTCGTACAGGTTGGCGTTTTAAAAAAAGGCCGGCGTTAGAGTTGTTTTTGCAACAACTATCCCCTCATTATGAAGTTGTTGTCTATACTAACGAATCAATAATGGTGAGTTTTAAATTTTTTGGAGATTTCGGTTTAACGGGATACACAGGTTATTTGCTTCAGTATCATTGTGCAATCATGAATAACTTTCGTCTATTAATTATTTAGCGTAACTGAAAAAAGTTTATTGTCTATTGCAGGAAGTGAGCAGGTCTGTCATGTAGATATTATTTGTCTCATGTATGTACGTAGACTATATTTTATTTGATTTATGGGTCGGTTTTGACACTACACTTCTCGTTTGAGTAACTTTCATTATATGTCAGTCATCTTAGGTCGCGAACATGTCCTTTTCTAGCTTTATTCAGTCTTTGAAAGTACTAAAATCGCTGTAAAACTAGTTCTATCAACCCAAATGAAGCTTGTTTAAAAGCGTGCTCAGTGTATCTCGTGATTGATGATAGATAAAATTTCCAGATAATCAGCATATGAAAGTTGTGCTGAAACAATGAAAATATAAAGATATCTCAACTTAGCTCATCAACAGTTTTTGTAGTTTAACTGCATGAGTGCACTGGTATCTTCCATAAAAATAAATTTTATGGCAATGTGAGCAAATATTTCACGCGGCACTAATCCATGAAGTCACTGACAACTGGACTGAGCTATGTTAGTAGGTGTACATTACCAGGTTAGTGTCCGCGAGACATTAGTAATCCATGGTTAGAGATCTTGAATGACATAGCTCAAAGCCGTTTGCATTGGTGCAGATGCATCCATTCTTTGTCTTCTCTCAAATTCTAGGCTTCTGAATTCCTCATCACCTTTATCTTTCTCTTTTCAAATTTACTTCACCGGGATATACTTCTGGAATCATACCTTCTCAAATTTATTTCACTGGTTTATACTCGAATAACATTTTTGAGCCCTAATCTCTCCAATTACTGCTCATACTTCTACTACCTCTACCATTATGGGGTTAGAATCGGCAAGTGCGCCTGTGCTAATGTAGTATGGCAACTTGGACTGACGTACGTACGTACGTACGAACTTCTATATTGTAGCTGACTGACTGAAGAATATTTCACATGAAAATGTGAAATTCGGTAGCAACCTTTAAAAAGGTTAGTTACCAATTAGTTTGAAAGTTTATTACAACCTAATCTTTGTCCGTTAGCAAATCTAAGAGGCAGTGTGATATGTATTGACAATGTATTTGGCTCATTTCATACTTAAAGAGTATGCGTTACGAAGAAATAACGTTCAGTCAAAAGAAAATGTTTTGGTAAGAGTAGTGTAAATTGTAGTTCACTACAATGACGAAACAAACAGACTCGCATTCCCTAAGGTTCTACATTGTGGTACTCCTAGGTGTTTCTGAAGTTCATTCATTACACTGAAACTAGTAAAACAACCAGCGTTGGACCAACTACAGCTCAAAAGATTTTATTTGTTTCCACGGTGTCCATATAACCTAGTCTAGCTTGAATACTGAACCTTGGTGCTGTATAATTTGACTCTTGAATCTTATGATGTCTGTAGTGAGTTTTGCATTGAGAGGAAACATCGTTTGAAAGGCAGTTAATTTAGGCTAGATACATCAAGTCCTAAAATATTGTGATGCTCCTCGGTGTCATACATCCCCTGGCAATTCGAATTCGCCTGTTTCGGTTAATAAATACAGTCTTACCGAGTCGTATGTCACTTAATGTGGTTTGTAACTGCTTCATATACGCGCTGATATAATCTTTGATTTTTCACTGTTACTTATTATAAGTGATTTCATTAATTCTTTTTGAAGACTGGAGCACCTGTGTTAGGTCAAATGGATCCTCAAGGACAATTTATCCACTTCCGACTATTTCGCGAAGCGACCCGGTATAAAGGAGGAAAACATATTAAAGATCTCTCATGTCTTAATAGAGATCTCTCTCGTGTGGTGTTCGTAGACTGGGATTCTGCTGCAGCCCAGTTACAACCACGCAATTCACTAATTATAAAACGTTGGGATGGTGAGGAGTCAGACAGAGAACTGATAGATTTAGCTGCCTTCTTAAGAAGTAAGTATGGTATTTACCTAGTTGAGAGTTCGAAACACGTCAGTAACTTTATTGTATTATGAGACTGCATTGACCTTGATAGTCAAGCCTTAATTCCGTTCGTAAGCAAGCAGGCATTAAGTTTATATCTTTCAGGTTTTTAACTTTTGATTACTTACTCCTGTTATCGATCGTTCGGCATAGACCACGAAGCAAGTGTTACCAACCAACTTTGTCCTGGGCTCTCATTTCCAGTCGTTTCTAGATGTTAATCATTCCCTTGACGGCTGCGCCCGATTCCTGAAACAATGTGTTCTTTGTTCTGTCTCTTTTCATTCTCCCCTGAAGAGACTGGGTTAGAGCCTGTTTGGTGATGCTGTCTGATGATTTCTGGAATATGTATCCGACCCACCTTCAGCGTCATTTCCTGATTTCCTCTTCAACTCAAGGCCATAGTAGGTTGTTGTTGATGGGGCCCGGCAACCGAATCTGTAGTATCTTGCAAGGACAGTCGTTTATGAGTACCTGTACGTTTTTGGCGAAGGTCGTAGTGGTTCTGGAAGTTCCAGTTCCGCATAGTAGAACTGTCTCAATGTTTGTATTGAAAGTTGTGACTGGTGTCGGTTGACAGTTGTTCTGAGTTCCAGATACTCTTCACTTGTAGGAATGCTTACCTTGCTATGCCAATCCGTACCTTCATGTCCGCATCAGACCCTCCTTGTTCATCAATGATGCTTTCCAGTTATGTGAAGTTCCCATATGTTCCAGTGCTTCTCTATCAAATGTGGTTCGGTTGCTGTGCACTGTGTTTTGTTTCAGGGTCTTACTTCTTTCCTTATGGATATTGAGACCTGTTGGTGCAGAGGTTGCTGCTACATTATCTTCCTGCACTTGTATTTGTCACTGTGTATGTGGATAGCAGGACTAGGTCATCTGCAAAGTTCAAATAGTCTAACTGCTGTCCACTGTGTTCCGCGCTTCTCCTAAGGTGTGAGGGTCTTTATAGTCCATTCAAATACTTCAGGAAGGAAGAAAGGCGAGAGAAAGTAGCTTTGTTTGACATCGGTCTTCACTTGGACCGCATCTGTGATCTATCCCCATGTGCGATTTCGCAATTCAGTCCGTCGTAGGAGTTCCATGTAATGGTGGCAATCTCAGGTGCTTCATAATATGGAAGATTCAACAAGGTTTTCTGATCCACGCTGTTAAATGCTCTCTCGTAATGGAGGAATTTGATGTAAAGCAGCGGATTCCATCAAATTGATTACTCAGCAATCATCCGCAGTCTCGTGATTTGGTCGGTACATGATTGAATTTTACGGAAGCCAGCCTGTTGGTCTCGAAGTTGGGTGTCTACTAAATCTTTCATTCGGTTCAACAACACTGTTGAAAACTGCCTGCTACTGGCATTAGTTCGATGTTTTGCAGTTCTCGTACTAAGACACTTCCTTAGTATCTTGATGGAAATATCCCTCCTTCCAGTCTTTTGGTATTTGTTCGTCCGAATATTTCTGAAGATGACGTGGAACATGTTGAAAGTTGCCCCTACAGCTGACTTCAGTGTTTTATCTAGTGTGCTGATGCTTTACTTTTATTTGTCTGGTGGCTATGCTGATTTCTTTGATTGTCAGTGGGTCAGCATTTGTAGGAAGGTTTGCAGGTGCTGCTTGATGGTCCTAGGCCCATGGGATTCTCATCCTGTTGGTCCTCTTGGTGCTTCTTTGGACAGCATAAGTGCAACAACTCCTTGTGTGCGCGAGGCATTTTCTCCTTCGTGATCAGAATACAACGGATGCTGTCAATCAAATTTCAATCCGCCCACTGTAGCAACCATGAAATATTCATAATTACATCTCATCAGAAAGTATCCTCCATAGTTGTCTCACTGTTGTGCAGATCGGTTTATTGTTATCTGTTTTTATTAGCGTTTGTCCTTTTCCAGTTTCACCGGTTAGTTTATTATGTTCAAAACCATCTTTATCGAAAGGTTGGGAATAAAACTGTAATTTTCCAGGTTAAATTTACATGGTCAACTTTTCATAAGTAGTTGTCGATCATTATTAACTATTTAGAAACCTTGCTCTAAAACTTGATGAACATTTTAGACCTCTTTTACACATAGTTTGTAGGTTCTTACATCCTCAAATACTTGCAAACTAACTTTATCATTCGTTCCTCTATCTTTAATTAATCATGATTTTTCAGTGATTGCAATGGGGAGTGTGGATGATGTGCGGCTGGTACTAGATTACTACAGAGAATTTGATGACCCATTAGCTTTTTTCCGTGAAAAACATGAAGAACTTATGGTGAGTCTATGTTAAACCTGTATTTATTGAAAACTATGGATATTTTTGTAGTTTTGACAGACAAGCTATATCGAAAAAATAATTTGAAAAGAACTTATTTCATAGGAAGTCGGTTTTCCTAACTATAATATAAAATTACCCATAAGGTGTTGTACATCCGATATTTCTCATTCTGAGTGATATGATAAAGCAGCAAAAGGGGTTAAGAATGGAATATACCACACTATCTTATAGTATTCCTTGATAGATATCGTCTATAATACTACCAATAACGTAGACAAAAGACCATATTCATTAGTGTAGGATTTAATTTGTCCTACAGATGTACTTCTAGAACTGTAAACGCAATATTGGCGATCACAGAGTCTGTGGGAAAGCTATAGTTAAACACAAGACCAATTTGGTTTTAAACTTTATCTGTTTCTAAACACAAAAACAATTATATTAGTACAATAAATAAGGAAATTAAAGTTATCAAGTGAAACGATCAAACATACTGACCAATATAGCGTGTCTTACGGAAATGAATAAAACTGAGTCACATCAATATAATAAGATAATAATGTTCTTCAATTAGTAGGCCATTTACAACAAAGAAAGTTTATAGACATGTCAGATCAGATCACGTGGTGGGCGCTTAAACCACAATTTGATTGCTTAGTTATGACATAACTACAATTAGTTATGGAAATAACTAACAGTTAGTTCCAATGGTTAACCACTGAAACTGAATTGGAAATACAGGCGATAAACAGCATGTTGGTGGCTACTATATTGGAAGTTGGTTCTTCTTAGATCTGTGATCTTTACAAGACTGCGAAAGATGTTTACCTAATTTGTAATACGTTACCCCTACCCATGTTACTTTTCTATGTGACCGTATTTTGGGCCTGAGCACTCATCTTTCATATCAGCTTTAAAACTCAACTATCTTAGCTTAGAGAACTCTCCATTACACATATTTTGTAGTTAGCGAGATAATCATTAAACATAACAAAAATACCACCTTTCCACTTATATTAGTGGCACATAAATGATTCGCACCCTTATTTGCATCCTAATTTCCCCCTTTTAGGCTACATATTAGAACTTTAATGTTCGGACGTAATGAAAACAGGACAACAGGCTTCCTTAGCTAGGATCTTAGAATCTTGCGCTATCTACGTGTGTTGTGTCTTCGAAACGCGCATACAGGATGCGAGTATAACCACTGATTTAACTTCATATTTTCCAAATAAGGAACTGTCCTGATTTACGCTTCGTGTATCTGAAAGCCCTACTGCCGCTTCCTGCGGCCTCGCTGATGTAGGTATCGTACTGAGTCCTAGGACAGAACTGGCTCTTAGACTGGATCGCAGTAGGTAGTCTCTTGTGCGCTGTGGGACTAAATGGGTCAGTAAAGACTCGAAAAGATAAGGACACTCAGTTACCTCTTCGTCGTCTCTGCCTACGTTCCCACTGACTGCAACTCAGATGAGGTAAAATATGAGTAGTAGTTATAGTGGCTGGTTACTTCAAAGCGCAAGTAAGCAGACTAAGCGAAGCGGAAAGGTACCTGGTTGGACCTCGAAGAACAGATAATAGAAACCGTCTGCTGCAACTATGCTCAGATAACTGCCTGTTCCTTGCAAGTACTAACTTTAAACACAAGGGAAAACATCTTTTGACCTGCAGACCCCTAAACTCGTCCCAACGTTGGACCGAACTAGATCATATCGCTTTCAGCCACCGAAGGAGAGGCTCCATTGAAGGCTGCCGCACATTCTGGAGCACATGTTTAGATTCAGATCATGCTCAAGTACGAGCGCGTACTTGTCTGCATCTTACTGGACGTAGGAAAGACGTTGCAATTAAACCGTTTAGGGTTCTACTAAATGATAGCATAGCAAAGAATATATTTCATAAACCAATAGAAAAACAGTTAGGGAGCCATGTAAGTGATGCCTACTTCGAGACAGCTTGGAATGATATCCAACAAGCTGTGGGAACATCAGTGATATCTGCCAGTAAGGCAAACCAAAGGGTTAGGAAAAATCAGTGGGTTTCAGTAGCATCTGCTAAACTGATAGAAGATCGAAAATTCATCCCACATCGCTCTAAACATGACGAAGAGCGGAGTCGGCTTAGACGCAGGCTGATAAGTAGCCTACGCAATGATCGCGAACAGTTCTCAGTCAGTCAGATACAACGTAGAACTTTGTACGTAAGTACATCAGTTCATGTTGCCATACCTTATCAGGACAGAGATATAATTGACAATTCAAATCCAATAGTAGAAGAGGTAGTAAAGGTATTAGAAGTAATCGGAGAGGTTAGGATTAGAAGATATTATTCAAGAAGTATGATTCAGTGAAAAAAGTTTAGAAAGTCAAAACCAGAGGTGTTGAAGAATCCAGAAGATTAGGATTTGAGAGAGCTCAAAGAATAGATGCACTTGCGCCATTGCAAACGATTTTGAGCCATGTCGTTCAAGGTCTCTAACCATTGGTGACTTTCGTCTCGCGGACCCCAACCAGGGAGTCTACATCTACCAACATCACTCAGTCCACTTGTCAGTGACTTCATGGATTTCTGCCATATTTTGGTCTGGCCGCCACTAGCTTTCTTCCAACCTACTCCTACACCACAAAACATAGCTCGTCGAGGCAGTCGGTGGTTAGCCATACGTAACACATGTCCCAACCACCTCAACTGATGAAGTTTCACTACTTCATCTATTGATCTGCCATCGTTACCTAGTACTCGTTTCCTAACGACAGCATTGCTTAATCGGTTGTCCCACGATATACGAACAATGCTTCTTAAATATCTTTGATCGAATACTAGTAACGTACGAACATCTTTTACTCTTAACGGCCATATTTCACAGCCATATAGGAGAACGGAGCAAACTGCTGCGCAGTACACCTGTCCTTTGGTTAGCGAACGGATATCACGCCTACGCCTTAAGTGACGCAGGTTGGCAAAAGCCAATCGAGGTTTCTGTATTCGCGCTGAGATTTCGTCAGTCACCAGTCTATCAGCACTGATGAGACTCCCTAGATAAGTGAAGCGATCAAGACGCTCGACTACTTCACTCCCTATCACTAGTATTACTGAGGCCAATATTTTAGATACTATATTAGTTGGCCTGATTCCCCTGTGATTGTCGTAAGAAGACGTTTGTCTTTTCTTATAGATTGGGACAATCGGTGACTGAGACCAGTCGGATGGGATTACGTCCAGTTACCAGATTCCATCTAAGATCTCAGCCAACCTAGCTGCTAAAACTGGACCACCATCCTTAAATATCTCAGGGGTAGGCATATCAGGACCTTCTACTCTACCTCGCTTCAGATTTCCTAACGCTTTCTCAACTTCATAAAGACTAGTGGGACTTACGTTGTCTTGCCATTCAGGATGACTGGAGATCGTGGGTAACCGAAGAGTGGCTCGATGCCAGTTGAACTGATCCCTAAAGTGTTCTGCCCATCTGTCCAGTCTCCTGGATTGAGAATGGATAATAAGACCATCCTTTTCCGAAATAGTCTCACTCACACTTGGGTTCCTAATACCAGTTTCCTTGATGAGTCTAAATAGTTGTCTAGTGTTGCCTATCGCCGCTGCCTTTTCGATTTCTCTCGCTTTCTCCACCCACCACTGTTCTCGATCATTGCGTAGGCTTTTTCTCAGCCTACGTCTAAGCTGACTCCGCTCCTCAGAGCCAGGCGGGATGAGTTTTTGAACATCCATCAGTTCGGTAGATGCTATTGAGATCCACGGCTTCATTCTAGCCTTATGATTTACCTTACTAGGAGAAATCACTGCTGTTTCCACAACCTTTTGGATATCATACCAACCTGCTTCTGGATGGGAATCGCTTACATGGTTGCTTAACTCTGTTTCTAGTTGCTCCTGAAATATTATCTTAGTTTGATTATCATTAAGTAAAACTCTAAAAGGCTTTCTTACGGTGTCTTTCCTACGTCCAGTAAACCTCAAACAGATACGAGCTCGCACTAGGGCATGATCTGAATCTAAACATGTACCCCACAACGAGCGACAGTCCTCTATCGAACCCCTCCATCGGTGGCTGATAGCGATGTGATCTAGTTGAGTCCGACATTGAGACGACTTCGGAGGTCGCCAGGTCAACAGATGCTTTTCCTTATGCCTTAACCATAACATCCAACTAGGTGTCTCTCCTGCTCACTTAGTCTACCTACTTGAATATTAAAGTCACCAGCCATTATTACTATATCAGAGCGCCTAGCTTTTTGGAGGAGGTCCGAAAGCTTTCTGTAAAACTCATCTTTCACCCCGTCTGAACTGCAGTCAGTGGGGGCATAGGCAGATACGACGAAGAGGTAACGGCGAGTGTCCCTATCTTTCCGAGTCCTAACTGTCCCGTTCAGTCGGACAAGGCACAAGCGACTATCTATTGGGATCCAGTCAAGGAGAGATTGTTCGGCTCTACGACTCAATGCTATGTCCTACGCCAGCAAGACCCCTGGAAGCAGCATCAGGGCTACCGGATACACGAAGAGTAAATCGAGCTGCTTCTTCATTTTGACAAGGTGAAATCAGATTAGTAATTTTACTAGGATCCTGTATGCGCGTTTCCGAGACGCAGCATACATCGATGGCACGAGATTCTAAAGTCCTAGCTAAGGAAGCCTGTTTCCCTATTTGACACAATGTCCGTACATTAAATGCTCCAACATGTAGTCTAGCGCGAGGTTTAAGGAGACCAGGAATGACGTTTCGTGAACTCGCATCGTTTGAATTAGCGGTGCAGTGAGATAAGGGAATGTGAGTAGAGTTAGTTGTGGAGAGAAGAGAGGTGTTAGGAGGTGAAGGAAGGATTTGATTTTGACCAATTTGGTCTCGTGTGCTGTTACGGGTATGAAGGCGGTTGTCACTTCCCGGCTGCCAACACCGTGGAAGGTTGTTTCTTGAATGACCTGAAAAGGAAGATAGATAAGTGTTGGTCTTATAGACCTGGGTGCGTGACCGCAGAGCCCAAGGGACAACTGCTTGAGGCCGGTCATGCACGGCCTTTTTATGAAAGGTTTTTTGAGGATTACCTCCGCTCTTAAAAGCCCTTAGTGGGCACCCTTACCCAAGGAGACGGAAATCCGTGAGGTAGGGTGAGGTGTGACATTTTTAGGGTCGACCTTTTCTAACCCTTCCTTCCTTGTGAGAAGTTAGCATCGCTGCAGATGCTGGTTGTTTGAGGGAAACACCCTACTGCTGTCACACCGCTCTGCAGTCAGCAGTACGACTTCGCCCTCAGACCTTGGGTAGCTGCTTTTAGTCTCATCGTTCTCCAATCGACCTGTCTGGCATGGTAGAACCTTCAGGAACACATATTCCAGCCAGTATAGCTCGGTTGGGTCATCACGATAGGGAAGCCCGACCACCACGTCAAGGTAGCAACTACGGTCGGGTGCGAACAGTTCTGGGTAGGGAAAGAGAGAGAAATGCAAGAGGCAGCGGCAATAGGTAACAGTAGACAACTGTTCTGCCTTATCAAGGAAAATCGAAATTAAGAATCTGACTGTTAGTGAGACTATCTCGGAAAAGGATGGGACTTACTCATTCTCAATCCAGGAGATGGGCAGAACACTTTAGGGGGCAGTTCAAATGTCCTCAGTCACCTTTCAGTTACCCACGAGAGTTGCAAGTTGATGTAAATCCTCCGACTCTTAATGAGATTGAAAAAAGCTATTGAAAATCTAAGGCGAGGGAGAGCAGCTAGCCCTGACTGGTTTACTCCTGAAATTTCTAACGATGGTGATCCGGTCTTAGCAGTAAGATTAACTGAGATCTTTGGTAGAATCTGAAAAACGGGCGTAACGCCATCCAGCTGGTCTCAGTCACCGATTGTCCCAGTCTATAAGAAAGGACAAAAATCCTCTCGTGACAATCACATAGGAATCAGTTTAACTAATAGTGTCTAAAATATTAGCTTCAATAATACTCCGACGTCTAGCTAGGGCATGTGACGAGCAAACAAAAAAAGCCCAGGCTGGTTTCCGACCTGAACGTGTCTATAGAGACGAAGTATTTATACAACTTCGGGTCCTAGAACAATGACACGTTCAGAGGTCCCACAATAGTGGTATTTTTCGACATTAAGGCGGCATTTAACTCTATCGATCATTAGGTTTTGTGGCACTACTGTCTGTCTCTGAAAGGAGTACCAAAGAAGTACATTAACCTTAACAAACTCTCCACTCGAACACTACTGGCTGAGTCAGAGCTTATGGCGAACTGTCATCGGAACTGATTACTTCAAGTGGTGTTCGTCGGGGTTGTTCTTTTTTTCCGTCCTTATTCAACTTTGTAATCGACCTGCTTTTAAAGATAACACTATTTTCGTCTGAATTTTCTGGAGTTGAACTTTTACCAGGAAATTCACTTGTCGACTTAGAGTGTGTCGATGACGTGGTTCTATTTGGTAAAGACGCTGACAAAATACAGAGTCTTCTGACTACCCTAAGCAACAATGCAAACATGTGCGGGATGCGGTTGTCCGCCTCAGAATGCGAAATGTTGCTTCAAGATTGGCTTGCATCGCCTCACTTATCTGGGGAGTCTCATCAGTGCTGATGGCCCGGTGTGTGATAAAATCTCAGCGCGGATACAGAAGGCTCGACTGGCTTTTGCCGACTTCATTTAAAGCGTACGCGAGAGATCCGTTTACTTACCAAAGGACAGTCCGCTCCGCCTTAATTTATGGCTGTGAGACATGGTCAGTCAGAGTAGAGGATATTCATAGGATATTAGTATTCGATCATCGGTGTCTTCAATGCGCTGTTCGTGTACCCTGGGACAATCCAGTAAGCAATGAAGGTGTTTGGAAACGAGTACTAGGTAACGATGGCAGATCAATAGATGAAGTAGTGAAACTTCATCAGTTGAGGTGGTTGGGACATGTGTTACGTATGGCTAACCACCGACTGCCTCGACGAGCTATGTTTTGTGGTGTAGGAGTAGGTTGGAAGAAAGCTAGTGGCGGCCAGACCAAAATATGGCAGAAATCCATGAAGTCACTGACAAGTGGACTGAGTGATGTTGGTAGATGTAGACTACCTGGTTGGAGTCCGCGAGACGAAAGTCACCAATGGTTAGAGACCTTGAACGACATGGCTCAAAATCGTTTGCAATGGCGCAAGTGCATCTATTCTTTGAGCTCTCTCAAATCCTAATCTTCCGGATTCGTCAGCACCTCTACCTTTGTCACTTAATTATACTTCTTGAATATCTTCGAACCCTAGTCTTCTTCATTACCATTAATACCTCTACTATCTTTATCACTATGGGATTTGATTTGACATTTGCGTCTTTGTGCTAATGTGGTATGGCAACATGAACTTATGTACATACGTACGTCGTTCCACGTTGCATCTGACTGACTGATTTTAGTAGGGACGATTCCTATTTATTGGGTTTTACCAACCGTTAAAAATGATAAGAATTATGACTTTAAAATTGTTGTCACTTGTGAACTGTAGACTGTAATCATTTTGTTTTCCACTTTTTTAACTATTCGGTACACATAATCAGGTGTGATGTTTTTCAATGGTTTTTAGTTTTTATATGTGATAGTAATTGGCGGATAAATGTTGTTTTGCATTTTGGTAATCGGATTCATAAAGAAAAGTACTCAAATTTTTAACTGCTAATCCAGCGACAAGTTGTTTCTGTAAAGTAATTACCTTTATGTTCTCCTAAATTTTATCCAACTTTTATTTATTTAGGAAGTTCAAGCCAAACGGAAACATGAAACAGAAAAGGCTTTATTAAAACGCCCTCGACCAACATTTTCATTTACTGGTATGGCTAGATCCTGATGTCGTTGATTTTACTAGTAAAAATATCTCAACAGGAATGATCCTCAAAATAATTTTGAAATGCACTTGTTTCCTGTATGAATATAAAATCTATGTGCTTGAATTTATTACTTTTGAAATCGCTTATAGATGTAAAGTTTTCTACTCGGGGTAGTTTAAAATTATTATGTATCAAGGATCATCATACAATTAGGAACAGTTCGACTTTATTAGGTCTGTATAGTTGATCTGTGATTGGTTGCTGCTTACTTTTTAGTTCCACTGATGCAAATGTGATTGTCGATGAGGTTGTGTAGCTGTTTTTTTAGAACGTTATATACTAATAATGAGTAGCATTTTTTAGAAGAATCGCTGAAATATCAAAATGCCATGTATTATATTACAAATTTATGAAACGGCGATAAAAAAATCTAGAACTGTATCGGTCTATTTAGTTGATAAATCTGCGCATTAGAACTGTTTAGTTCATACGGATCGTTACTGTATTCATCTTCTTCAATCTCGATGCGCATTATGGTTAGGATCAGTCGGTCATACACAGCGTAGAATGTATCTTATGTATACATCGGTTCAAGCCGTCACGCCTCATTAGCACAGAGAGATGAAATTGCCAGGCTAATGCTGTTAGGTTAGTTGAGTTTCGAGCTCTTGTCTGCTTTGACATGATCTTCCAACGAGAGTAAAAGCAAGGCGTGGGATGTTTCAATGTGATCAGCTCAAGACATGGTGAAAACCCACAGTCTTTGATAGGTTACTTACGCCTGGTACCCCCAATGGAGCATAGGCCGCCCACCAGTTTTCTCCAACCAACTCTGTCCTGGGCTTCCCTTTCCAGTTCTGTCCAATTTTTGTTCATTCTTCTCATCTTTGATAGGTGATATGATTTATATATTGGAAAGCAGGCTCCCTTAGATGTATCCACAATGTGATAAAAGCCGTTAGTTGGTTATTTAGAAACAAGTTTTAGTGCATCTACATCTGTTCCATATCTTAACTTGTTCATCAATAATAAGCTTTTTTTGCTCATCGTTTAATCAAGAACCATTATGTTATAAAGTTGAAATGTGTCTATTGTTCATCAGTTTGTGTTTATGAACTTAGGACTCATCACATTGGTTAATCTACTCAGAAATATCCTAGTTCATCAGGTTTTAGGGATGCTGGTTAGGTGTTCACTATGTTGTAACACTTATCGATTTCTATCGGAGACAGCGTCTTAAAACCTGTAAAGCAACGCTTTTATGCACTTCTTCTTGCCTACGTTAAGATGTACGCGCTCGGTATTTGATGGTTGCTTGTGACGTGTTAAGAACCAGCATGTTAACTAATTACTTCATTCGTCAGGACTATGCAAATTGTTCTAATTGTATTCCATATGACTAGTTGATTTAACTTATCACTTGTTGGTAATTAATGACTTCTAATACTTGTCACTCCATTTGCCAACAACCTGTTTCAATATGTTTCTTAAGCAAACTATTATCTAAAAGTATTGAATTACGCAATTTAAATTCACGAATAACTTTGTTTTATAAAAAAATTTTCATTGACCTACAATAAATTGATTTGTCTTGAGCTTGTCAGCTAGAATTCGTATTAGTCTAAATTCATGAGCTAACTAAAAAAAATCATTTGGCTTAACTTGTGGTTTACATATTTTTACTACTCAAGTAGTATGAATATGGAAGCAATAATTGTGAGCGCTTTGAGCCAATGTTTATATTGAACGGGGGATTAATCAAAATGTATTTTTTTGACACGAAACTATATCTTGGTTGTATATCTGGCTGTCTAACTTTCAGTCGGTACATCCGAATACCATATCTGGTTATTATTCATAAGGAAAGTTTGTAATTCAGATTTGCAGTTGATGAACATATAAAGCCAACCCATATTTTACTAGTTGTAAACACGGCAATTAACTGTTAAATCTAACAGGGATTGTCGTAAAAAATAGAAAATGTTTTGTTTCTAAATGATAATTCCACGGTTAAGTGTAAATTTTTCTCTGTGAATCTATCTAATATTGATGATTATTCTCGTTCAGAGGTGTAAATATATTATTCAATTTTAAAATGTAAAGAATTTGTTTTTATCCAAGAAGCGAATAAGCCTACTATCTAGTTTATTTAGCCAGAAACGTCTTACAGTTCTTTCTTCTATTTAGCGAATGCTGGATATTAATTTTCACTAGACAAATCATGTTAAACCCTAATTTGTTCATTACAGGTAGTTACCGATAAATCTAGATCCTCGAAATAAAATTACACTGAGAAGGTGGAGAAAACGTATAGCTCAGGTGGATTATCATGGTGATGTTTCGTTTCCTAAGCTAGACGGTTTGGTTGCAAAGCTTTTATTGTTCTGCTGAACAAAATCAGTAGTACAAACTTCAGGTAGAAGTAGAGTATTCGAATGAAATCATATATATATATATATATATATATATATATACTCACTCAAATGAAAGGAGTAATGGTCGAGAATAGACGCCACATTTATGAGACTTTACAAACGTCGCAGATAACCTCATCCAGTTTGATCATGAAATCTGTAACATTTTTCCGATAAATTTAATTCATTATGTTGTGTCTATTTCTTCGTAGTTGAAACAATACCAATGTATTTGTTGTTAGTTGGATATAATATCATTTCTTTAATATCCACTGCAAACGAACTACTTTTTGAATTCCAGGCGGTTACTTTTGTTAATATGTTTAGAATTATGTAGGTAGCAATTGAAATCTAGCAGATGAGACATTGATTATAAGAGTTATGCATGATAGAAATAGAAGCACCATTCATTATATGATTAGCAGAGGTGGATAGCGGGTTAGCACTAGAATCCAGGATGCGTGTTTCATCAATTGCAGTCCTAAACATAACTGGGAAGATTCGAATAACCAATACAGATGGATCACCCGTTACAGTTTACTATTGGTCAAAGTATTGTAAAAAAAATTGTTCCTCTGAAATGTAACTGATTATCAAGTTATTGTCTATTTATATTTATTTATGACTCAACATTTCATTAGTCTAGGAGGTTCCTGAAGCTCTTCCAATTTACAGTTCCCATAATCAACTGATTTAGATTACACAAGGATTGATAAACGACGAACAATCAACATTTAACCACTTTATTTAGAAGTAAGCACGTTGATGATATCGCTTATAACGATAATAAAGGTTGAATCATATAGCATAGAGAATACAGCACTACCAAATACATCCACCTAAATTGCCGATCTTCTTCATCATTGTCAAATAAGCATAAGAAATTAAACCGTAAACTCAATAATTTAATATTGGTAAATCTCCCGTTAAATTCCAATCTATCCCTGACCAATTAATTATAAGTTTTGATTTTAATCACTACCACACTATTTTGTTGTGTGTTTCATTAGTGCTTTTTATTTCAGTGATTGATATTCAGTAAATTCCAGGTTGGTTATTTTAGTGTACATTTACATATTCTAACCATTTTATCCTTTCATATTTCTCATCATTTCAAGAAAACTAACGTTGACTACAGTTTAAGGCTATCGCCTTTTGCACATTGTTTCTTAAGAACCTTCACATAGATTACACAAGGACTTGGGTTGTGTAGTGATAGACAGTTTAAAAGTCAGTTTCTATCCTTTGTTGTTCAAATTGTATCACAATTTGTAATGCAGACTACTTCAGTCTCATTATTTCAGACACAAAATCTTGATACATGCGAAACAAAATCTGTGTATTAGTGGACCACAGCTATGCACTGATATAGTACAGAGTACCGGACATTTTACACCACAATCCACATTGTGAAGTGATGACAGTAATTTATAGTGGCAAATATCTTCCAACTTCTGGTATTCAAAACTTCACCTCAACTGTTACACTGGCACTGGTATGGATTTTTCAAGATGCTAAAAGACCCTAAGAGGTAGTCTTACCGAACACAAAATAACAGTGCGAATCTGAATTTCAGTTAGTGCTTTAAATTGTTTCTTTTGATAAATGAGGAAGTACTTCAGCACTCAGCGATGAATAAATATGTAAACTTTAGATTCAAAGCCTTATTTATTACCACATTCTTCTTGAAGGTCAATGTCCTAACTTTTCTGATTATACCCTATGTATGAGTGAACACAACATTTTACTTGCCACCTGCAGGGAACCTATTTACCAGTGGCTTTTAAAAAAGGGTCCGCAAGATCTGTTTAAAGATAAATAATTCGTAGTCTTCCTTCTGAAGTGATAAAACACGCCATTTGCGTAGCAGTTATCATGTAATTTGATGAATTTCTCCACCTTCTACGAGCTGAAGGCTAAATTACAAATTTTTGAAACCATGAATCGATCAATGTTAGACCGCTATTAGAAACATGGACAGCAACGAAGACTGTGTATGAGGTTGCGCAAATCTGTGAACTGATCTAGTTAGATATTAACACCGCTAGATACCGAATCAGTGGTCTGGAGGTTAGGCATTCGCGCACAATAACGAAGGTCCCGGGGTCGTGGATGCGCACTGCTGATGAGTCCCATACCAGAAAGAAACGGCCGTCCAGTGCTTCCACGTTTCTAATGGTGGTCTAACATTGATCGATTCATGTTTTCAAAAATGTGTAACCTGACAATCTTCACAACCCCATAACGAATGGTTGACTTTTTCGTGTCTGGTTTTTAAAAGGTGAGTTTTTAGGCCATATTTTGACTTCAGTAAAAATATTCCATCAGTCAATCGATACCTAGTCCTTTATGGATATAGTAGTCAGAATTTTTTGAGTTTGATAATGAGAGACATCAAGTTCATAGTCATAGTTATTTATTACTGAAGAAGTCATTCTTACACCTTCTCAAGTTTTTGATTATTTATTTCTGTTGGAATAAAAATTTAAATCAGATATTCATAAAAGAATATCGTTTCGTTTGGTGAACTAATTTCGAAAATCGATTGGTTATTGAATATGATCGAATTTCACTTTGTCAGTATGATCAAAGCTAAGTGAAAATGAACGTATTTTGAATCTATTGATATAATCATAATTCATTTAATACTTAATTGACAGTAAGACGTGTCGTTATGATATCGAGAAAAAGTTGAATAAATAAACAT